CTAGGACTTAGTTGATCCCGTGTGTGAGCAAGGTCGAGGCACACATGTACAAAGTGACCACGGTATAAGGGCTAGGCCGAGCTATACCGATTACAAGCGGCCAGATGTTTATTGTTGTAAAGTTGTTATGGTGTCTATTGTTGTAAAGTTGAAAAGTTGGGGACATATGGTGAAGATATATGTCCTATGTTGAGATACATAGTACTAAGGAGATAAATTGAAAGTTGTTTTAAAGTTGAATCCCTTAGTACTGTGTGGGCGACATGGAAATAGTCGATCCATGTCATGGTTGAATGACCAATTTGAGTAAGATATCTAGTTAGAGATGTAGTCTTTGACTAGGTACTGGAGGGTGCGTGGTACTTGGAGGACAGTGGGTGGGCTAACTCCATATGTGGATTGGTGATGCTAGCCAAGGCCGTGGTAGGCTCATACCCAAACCCTTCTGTCCTGACAGTAGTACTGGACCTCCGAGTCTAAGTGGCATACCTGAGCAATCAACTATTATTGTCTATACCTAGTTCTCTTCGGAGTTCCTAACGTTGTTCTATACCTGACCTGGTTGAGATAGGTCAAACATTGGATTCGGTAGGGTTTATGCCACCTAGACTGCTCAACTTCAGTTGTTGGAGATCTCAAAGTTGAAATGCGTGACGACGCATAAGTTGTTGATGAGTTGATTTATTGTTGATAAAAGTTGTATCTATGTTGTTATGTTGTTAAGCTGTGATTGTGTTGTGTATTGATCCTGTTAAGGATGATGATAGTGTTGTTATGTTGTAAGCTGTTTTAAACATGTGTTGTTGAAAGATGTGTAATATATGTGTTGTTTATCTTTTGTGTCGGATGTGAAGATGATTATATAGTTGTGTTTCTTATTTGATATTTATGAGCTGTTTATTGTCTCTAGCTTACCCTTGCGTGTTTCCATGTGGTTTGGACTGCGATGATCATACGTTGGTAGGGGAGCAGGGCAGGGATAGGCTGTGAGATAGCTACTAGAGGCCACAGGAGGTGCCTGGAGAGGGATAATTTTTGGTAGGCTACCTTATAGTAGCATATATTGTTGTATATAATAGGTTGTCGTTGGTTGCTCAATTAGCAACTTGTGTTGTAAATATTTTATTATACTATTTTAGTATATATATTTCAGTAGTGTGTGATGTTGTTCGTGGTGTGACAGCCATGGCGGGTCGTTACACACTTTATCTGTAGTCACACTTCCATTCCCACAAATATTAAAATAAAAAATAATTAATATATAAATATATATTTTTTCCAACATAATTATAAATAAAATAAATACATAAAACAATTATAAAATCTCATATTTTTCTCCAAATACTTATTGTAACAAAATAACATAAAACATATATTTCTTCAATAAATTATTATACAAAACAATTTTGCAAAAAAATAATATTTAATAAAAAACACTCATAATTATTAAAAGTCTCCAAATATTTTCTAAAACTCATTTAATTAATTAAAATATTATTTTAATAGTGCTAGAAAACTTGGGGTGTAGAAAATGATATGTATAATTGAATAATAAGAGTTATGGTGGGATTTATACAATTTGAGAGATGCATAAAGATTATGTATGAGACATATGTCATGAGCATGCGTTTTTGGGTCAAGAGTATATGCCTTTAGTTAATGAGTATTTGCCTTCAAGCCATGAGTAAAAGCCATGAGTAAAGCCTCTAGACAATGAGTTATGAGTCACTTAGTGCCATATGCACATAGCATCAAAGGAGTCGATTTCATTTCATTGGTAATGCGAGATATAAATTTGTATTTTAACGATGTGGTGATGTTGTTACTTCTTGAATTATCATTTGTACCTTACTTGTAATTTAATATTCCTATTATATATGTATTTATATACATGTTATAGTGAAATATTTCTCACTCTTCTTTGTTATTATTGTTGTTTTTGTATGTTTTTGAGTATTTTGCAAGTAATGATCATCATGACGATGATGCAAATGGTGAAGCATGAGCCTTATAGGACATCACGTTGTACTTTGATAGGATGTGCACCGAAGGCTTAGATTAGAACTATTATTTCTTTGAGTTTTTTTATGTTAGGATTTATGTTAATTACTTTGCATTCATATTATGTTGCAAAGGATTTCCTTGAGTTTCTTTGACTTTAACTAACAACTATTTTATGTTTTATAAGGATTACTTGAGATTTGTTTGAACCTACATTACTTTAATATGATACTGACATGCAAGGTAAAAGGTGTCACATGGACCACATGTGCTTGCCTAATACAACAATATTACCTAGACAAGTGTAACGCACACCTACCCCCTCACTATTATGGCTTTTAGACGATATTCCAACCCATCCAATGGGTTGATGGCTTACCCCAAATAAATCTCCTAACATTATTATTAATATCTCACACATACATTTTGGAAGCCAAAGATTTTGCATAGTATAAATAGGAATAATTGCGATAACTAAGTTGACAAGTTTTACTCTTTATGCATGGTTGAGTAATTTAGATTTCCATCCATTAAGTTTACCATTAATATTATCCAAAATCTAGGAGAAACTTATCCTTGTAACACAACCTGTTAGCAATGGGAACCCCAATATTTTCCTAGACTAGTTATAGGACTAAAGTTGATGATGGCTTCAAATTTTAATATTTTCCTTCTTGAAATTTTCCTAGAGACAAGGAAGCATGATTTTTGAATGTTGACTTTGATCCCTAAAGAAGAACAAAATTGGTTAAGGATATCCCTAACCAATCTAACTTGATTGTAGTCTTCACGATCAACAAGAAATCATATGCAAAGAAAAGATGTGAGATAACTAAACAATCTTTGGATATTCTCATTAACTACCAAACATTACTACAACCATTTTCTTGTATCAATAGAGCAAGTTTTTCCATACAAAACAAAGCAAAACAAAAAATAGATAAGGGGATAATGAGTCACCTGGTGAAGCCTCCTTCGAGGGGCAAAGTTATCAAGAATCTTGTTATTCCATTTTAAAGATAAGTTAGTAGCTATGATACAATTCATAATTAGTTAAACAATGTTAGAAGGGAAACCAAAGTTTGAAAGAGTGAGACACAAAATCCCAATTAATCTTGATAAAAGAGTTATTCTAATTTATATATAGCAAAGGATATATAGAGAAAACAAAATGTTACTTATAATTTCTTTTAAAATAATATTAAATTTAATTTTAAAAAATAAAAATAATATTGTTTCTTTAATAGATGAATATATATATATATAGTGTTACAAGTGAGAGATTGTTGAAAAGATTCTAAAAATATTTTTATTAAAGAAAAATTAAAACGTTTTGTTGAAAAATAATGTTTAAAATACTCTAATTTAATATCATTATTGTATTTAGATTATATAAAATGTGATTAGTTATGTGAGAAATAGGCATCGAGGAGTGGTCTTTATTGGCGCACTATACATATTTTATCTATACAAAATATATCATGCTTATCACGTTCGTGTAGTGATGTATCACGTTCTCGTCGGATTATTATTATTTTCTTATCGAAACACGCAAATCAGCATTTGACTAATGTAAAATAAGTGTCTGTTCACAATGGAATTTAATAGAATTAATTTTGGTAAAGTTAGTCTTAAATCATTCCCTATAATTAAGATAACCCATTTGAGTTAATTTACATCACATGTATTTCTCTCTCTCAATATAAATTAAAATAATTAATTAAACTACTAATATCAGTCTAGTAATAAAAATTAAAATAATATACACGTGATTCTAAGTTTAAGTTTTGTTATGATTATTCTAATTTTGATAAATAAGTTAAAAAACATTAATAATTTTTAGCCAGTCTTATTTAAGGAAAATATTATTAGATATTTTTCTGAATGTTTCATCTCTTTCAATATATATTTTTTAATTTTTAATTTTATACTATGAAATTTTAATATTTAAAAAATTTATTAATAATTAAAAATAACCTTGTAATATAATATATTTTTTTATTATAAATCTAAAATATAATTTGTTTTTTTACGGCTATACATTTTTATTAAAAAAGCTATCTATTATGAATTTTAATTATAATATATATTTAATAATAATTTTTATAAATTCTAATAATATAAAGTAAATACTAATTTTTATGTTGTATATATATTAAATTATTATTATTATTATAACATGGTTAAAAAAATACACTAAATTATTAGTTTTATCGAAAAACATGTTGTCCATCCTTACCATCTTTGTAACTAAAAACATGTCCTTAAACTAGCTAAAATCATTAGAATCCACGTAATAATAAGATTGGAATAGATTTATGGAAATTTAGGTTACTTAATATCGCAATTGTAATCTTATTATTATTATTATTATTATTATTATTATTATTATTATTATTATTATTATTACTCCTCCGTTTTTATTTCATAGGTGTTTTGTCAGAATTTTTATTTTTTTTCATTGTCATTTTATTAAAATCAATAATTTATTATTTTTTTTTTATTTTTATCTTTGATAATTAATGTATATTTATTGAGCAATATATCTATTTATTTATAATATTTACCTATTTTTTTTCCAACCACCTATATGGTTAAATAGAATAAATTACTGTTCACATATGTATTTTAATAATTAATATATTAATTTATGAATAAATATGATTAAATGAAATAAGTTACAATTTACATGTGTATACTAATAATAATACATTAATTCATGTATACAAATCAACGGTCTCATGAATTAAATGAAAAATAAATAAATAAAAAGTATAACAAAAAAGTAAATAATAAGTATTTTTAAAAATTAAAATATTAATTATTTTCTTAAGTCAAAAAACGGAGGAGTATTATTATTATTATTATTATATGTTGTGGCGTGATAGTGCAAGTCTTGCATTTAATTCCCACATGAATGTTAGAAAATAATTTGGTTTGCGTGACGTCAATGCCTAACCTTCATTCTTGAAAACTGCGTACCCTATCACATCTACTACCTAACCTTCTTCCACTTCTCTCTCTCTAATCAACCCATTTAAGAGCCTAGTAATTATCATTAATTAATCAATTAATCAATTAATTATATGGGTGTTTTTTTTAATGCGAGTAGCGAATGTATAATTTGCTTTCCTCAGATGGTCTCTTATGAAGGAGTTTAGAATAGTAGACTGAAATAACTAAAGCAATGGATCTCAAAAAGGCACAAACTGATCCAATTTTGGATCCTAACCAATCAAATTATGTCTATCATCTCGCTTTGGATATTGGAGGTAAATTCGGTTTTTCATTTCTAACATTTTGATTTTTTTTTTTTGGTGGGTTTAGTATGAATTTGACATCTGTGCTTTGTGAATATTGTGGGAAATACTCGTTTTGGTGACAAGTTTCAGTCTTGGTCGGGTACTTCTCGTTTTATGTAGCTGATAGCAATGCTTATGGCATTGTTGTTGATTTGTTAGTTGTCTATAGTTAGTTTTTTGAACTCTGGTTGGTTTCTCACTTTCTATCACATGCATCACACCGGTGGAAGAATAGCTGTGTTTCTATTAGTTTGGAGTTTTGCTTGGTAATCCAGATTTCTGTTCAAATTCAATTGCATGAGTTTAAGTTTCTGAAGCCCGAATTCTGGTTGGACCTGAGTTAGTACTCTCAGCATTGGGAGTGACTGAGAATGACGCTGGCTTTCATAATAATGTGAAATTTCTGCAGGGATCAGTTTGTGTAGTTGCATTGCTACCAGTTTGGCTGATTTAACTTGGTTGTTGAACATGGGGTAGACTCTGGAAATCGTGTACTTTTGAGAAAATTGGAATATTTTTTTTATTTAACCGTGTGAGTTCAAATCATGTCAGAAAAATTCTGGAGATCATGTATGAACTTTAAAAATTTGCTTAATTGGGGGATTTTTAATCTGCGTTTTAGCACCATGTACTGCTATTGTTATGCCTCTGATACCCTGGTCTATGCTATATAGGTTATTAAATTAACAGTAAAGCTTCCAAAATTTGATTGTGGGAATCGGATACTACTTAAACCGAAAAACCAATGAGTCAAGCATGATTACCTATGTCTCTAACATTTCTAATATCGAACTAAAATAATTCATGTTTATCTCTAATCAGTAAAAGATCTTATTCCTTTATCTGTGCTTGGACCCCCTTTTGACAATTGTCTCCCTCTAGTGATGAATCAAGGCACTGAAAATATTCTGTCTCAAGACTCCAAAGGGCACTTTACATCCCTGAAAATATCTGTTCTTCTGATGGGTGTGTGTTCAAGTTTGCTGGGTGAATTGAAAGAGAAAATGCTTAATGCTTAATTTATGTTTTCAAATAGTCTATCAAACTCAAAGGAAAATCTCGATTGACAAAAATGCTTAAGGATGAATGTTGGATAGGGAAGTACCAAGAAGAACAAAAAAATTTAGTGTAGTAGAGACGTAATTGCTGAAGTTGTTGAGTAGCCATATGAGAAAAGAAAAGATTCTGAACGGATTTGTGGTGGGAAATTGGTGTAAAAACTACTTGAGAAGATGACAGAATCATGCCCAAGGTTGTTTGGTATGCGAGAAGAAAACAAATTGCTGCTCTATAGAGAAAAGTGTATCAAATGGTAGATAGTTTGATCAAAAGGGGTTGAGAAGACTGGGGTTTTAAATTGTGGTTACAGTTACATTTTTGTTGCGATCTTTGATATAGTAGAAAAATGCAAACAAATGTGACTAATGAAGCCACAAGCCTACAACTGCAATCACAGAAATCCAAAAAATCTTGACATTGCAGTTGTAATTGTGGTTATGGACCGTTTTCTAAAACTTGGTGAAAACATTAGTAGAATATCATTAAAGAAGACCATGTGCTAATTTTTATTTATTAAGAATTTCTGGTTTGTGATAAAGCAAAAAGGCATTGATCAATCTATATGTAGCCAAAGGCTTGATTGTTGTATATGTTTTATTGTTATTGCTTCATAGTTGCTGGTTTATTTATTCATTTTCATAGTATGTGTTCAACTTCACATGTTTGCTTCTCAATTTTTTCTGGGTTATTATAGTTAGTACTGAAAACTTCAACTTGAATAGATGTTAGTCATGTTACGTATATTTTTATTACTATTAATTTATGACAAATGCTAACCAGTGCCTTAAGGGCACTCATTATGGAAGCAAATACCACAAGAATTTATTGAAAAAGATAGCATTTATTTTGTCTCAGAAATACAAAAGTCATTCAATGCATGCTTTTCCGGGTAATCGAAAGCATTTAATACATACGGCATATTTAATGTTTTTTAACCAGTACCTTTCCGGAAACAGTTTGCAAGGCCATTAATTTTCATGGCATGATTGTTATGCACAGCAAACTTTCTGCCAGCATTTTCATGGGTACGAAATTATTTCAGTTTCTTGACAGTTGACATTTTACTCGCAAGTTAAGCACACCATTCTGTTTTGAGTTAAATTTCTCAAGTTCGTTGATTGGATGCATGTTATTGGCTGTGGATTTTGATATTGGCAGCATTTTTTTTGAACTAACTTTCATATTGAGAATGCAGATGCTACTTGTTGTTGATAGTTGATAACATAATTGTAGTTTTTAGAAAATTTATAATTGTGATTATTACCTTGGTGTGGAACTTTTATTAATTCTGTAAGACTTCTTCCCAGTTTTGGTGAATTGTCAAGAGATGTTCTGCTTCCACATCAGTTGGCTCTTGCGTAAAATAATACTATCCATCTGTTGACAGGATCCCTAGCCAAAGTAGTTTACTTCACTAAAGATGATGATCATTTTGTTGATGGTGAGGAGGGGTTATCTCATAGAAAGGCTTTGGAGAAATCCAATGGCAGTAGGCAATATCCTGTTCTTAATGGGAGGCTCAATTTTAAGAAGTTTGAAACAAGCAAGATAAATGATTGCGTAGAATTTATCAAGTCCATGAAACTTCATTTTGGAGGTGCGTACATAATGTTATTCGGATATGTTTTTTGCAACTTTTAGTGTTTGTCACAGTTTAACTGAATTTTCTGAGGCATTCAACCATGTTCAGCATGAAAGTGTGTTTGCAGTTAGCAGCATTTGTTCGTTTAGACTTGATCAGACTGCATGCTGAACTGAAATTGACTAACCATTTTAGCTCTTTCAGTCGCTGTCATATTGATCCTGTATTTGTTTATTCCCAAGCTGGCTGAATAGAATTTCTCATTCTTCTTTTTGCTCTCTTTTATTCCCTCTTCATTTTCAATTTTTGCTTTACTTGTTCTGTATATTATTGGTCATGGAAGTCTCAAGTGCTTCTTAGTGAGACATTGATCTATATATATTTGTTATCCTTTGACCTTGAAATCTAAGCTTGATCTTAGTTTGCTAATTAGGTAGCGAATAAACTACTTAGAATCCAAAGCCAAAGTACACAAAATCCAAACTAATATATATCCTTGAAAAAATATGTACTGATATAATGCCTAAAAACATATATACTAGTCATATGTTTTATATTTTCCAATCCATTTTTGAGTTATCTGAAATTTTTGCCTTTCATAATGAAATCAGGTAGTCAGCGACAAGCAATTCCTGGAAGTCAGCCGATAGCTGTTAAGGTAATCAAATTGAAAAGTTAAGCATGTCATATTATTCTGAAGAATTTATTACTATTGTTGGCTTTGATTGTATAGATAGGTCTTCTAGATTCAAGGTTAGTAACAAATTCAAGCTTGCCTATGCCATTTTTTGAAAGTTTCTTTTCCTTACCTTCTGTTTTGCCATGGTTGGCGGACATGTAAGTCCTAGAAGCTGATTTAAAATTGAAAAAGTACTAATTGTTCTGAAGGCAGACACATGCACAAGTTCAAGTTTACATAGAATATTTCAAAAGAAAAAAAAAATCAATTGATACTAAATAATGTTACCTAGTCTTGAGGTACTTGGATTTATGTTGTGTACTTCTTAATAATGAGAAACTATTGGTGAGAAGGCCACAGGTGGTGGTGCGTACAAATATGCAGACCTCTTCAAGGAAAGACTAGGAATCATTCTTGACAAGGAAGATGAAATGGACTGTCTTGTTGCAGGAGCAAATTTTCTTCTCGAGGTAGGATACTAATTTTCCAGATTATTGTTACAAAGCAAACATTCTCTCATTTTTAAATTTCTAATTAAAATTATTATGAGATTCAGATTCATTTTTCCTTCATTATTCAACAAATAGTGTAAAGATTAGCTTATGGCTTATGTGTGTGAAGGTTTGATAGTACACATAATGGTTAGGGACTTAGGGTTTCATTAGTTTTAGCCCTAATCTTACTTATGCATGTGTTCACAAGATGCTTGTTTTGCACATTTAGGTTAAGTATAATTTTTATTTTAAAAAAAAATCTTTGTTAGTTAGGGAATGTGTTGGAAGATATTTTATGTTTATTGATGAATTACTGATGTTTAGAGAATTGATGAAGTGGTCATCTATATGATGATTTAAATTAAGGCTTTCATTTATTCCATCTGAATGTAAATATGAGTCAGAAGACTTATCTTCCATTAAGCAGCTCTAATATTATTTCAGTTTACTGAAAACATATGTACCTTAGTATTCAATGAATGTCTTAAGTTTGTGACCAGTGGTAGCAATGCTTATGGTTTGACTAAACTCAAAACTTTGGAATTTCACAGCACTTTGTGTTAAGTGTTTATATTTAGCTAGCGTCATTGTGATTGGCTGAATATGAAGCTAACTAAGCACATGGCTGTGATTTGAAAGATGTTGTAAGGTTGAATTAAGCTCATAACCTACTTCTTAAGATGGTATTTAACCCTGGTTTTAATCCACTTTTTAAGATCTTGGGACTTATTTTATAAAGTTGACTTAAGCTCATTCCCACTTTCTTATGATGGTATTAGAACCTATATCCTAGTGATTATTGATTATTGTTGGACCTATCATGCTACCTGCTATCATACTACCATCAAACTACCCGCAAATGTTCAGTCTTGCAAATTTTGATGCTCAAGATATATAGTCCTCAATGTGAGAGGGTATTAGAGATCTCATATAAACTAGTGGGAAGGCCAAATTAGTGTATATAAGTGGAGAGCAATCCTTATCTTACCGGTTAGTTTTGTAAGGTTGAGTTGAGCCCATGACTTATTTCTTAAGAGATATCTTTTGTTATTTTGTCGTTTTGGAAGAAGATAGCATATCATATCAAACTAATCAAAGTAACGACCTTTAGATTTTGAGTTATCCTGATGGCTGCCTTTGTAAAGTGGGCTACACCATGACTGATTTACATTTTAATTTTTCATTGTCAATGAGCTTACACTCCAAAAGTGCAAATAAAAATTGGAGCTAGTAATATAGAAACAATATGGATTATTTGTTATTGACAAACAAAACAAGCTTTCATAGGATTTTAAAACTTTTTATTGTTATAAAAAAAATTGTGGGGTAAAATAATTGTTTGCTTTGAATGTCCCCTCCAAAAAATGAAGCCAAAATCTTCGATTGAGAACTGTTGTAACCAAAATTATATTTTAGTACATTTTTCTCTAAATTTAAATTTATATTATTTGTCTTGTTACTGTTGGCATATGAGAAGCTCAAGGCATGTGGCATTTCAATATACCTTTCACTATGAGTACTTGTAAGGAAATGCTACATTAGTTCCATTTTGTTGTCCTTTTGGTTTGTGGAGGGGCTTTGCTCAGACACTATTCCTTCAGTTTGCTGTAAATCAAGTGTTGAGTCTTCATTCTCATACACCGTGAGAATTTCTTAACAGAAGAACTAATCTGCCTTGATTTACTTTCAATAGGTGGTCCACCAGGAAGCATTTACCTATATGGGTGATCAAAAGCAATTTGTACAGATTGACCAGAATGATCTGTATCCCTATCTTCTTGTTAATATTGGGTCTGGTGTTGGCATGATTAAGGTATTACATTACTTGCAATATTTTTCCAATTTCCAAATACGTGATCTTTCTTAAGTACTTCAAATAATCTCTTAATATTTTCATATAGGTGGAAGGAGAGGGAAAGTTTGAGCGAGTTAGTGGAACAAGTATAGGTGGAGGCACTTTCTGGGGTTTAGGAAAGCTTTTAACCGATTGCAAGAGGTTGTTTTATTTTTCCTGGGGTAAATTCACTATTGATTTCTATATAAATGCATAGGATTACCATTAATGTACTTTCTGATTCAGTTTTGATGAGTTGCTGGACTTAAGTTATCGGGGTAACAACAGAGCCGTAGATATGCTTGTTGGAGATATTTATGGTGGAATGGACTATTCAAAGGTATGACTGGAGAAATTTGATGTCCTTTCTCCTGTTTAAAACTATAAGACAGTCATTCTTATGCTACCATTCTTTGAATAGATTTTGTAAAAATGATTGTTTCAATTGGATAATAATATTGTATAGTGATTATTTGTTGGAATATCTTTTTCTTTGATTCATAACAGATAGGTCTTTCATCCACTGCAATAGCCTCTAGTTTTGGAAAGGCAATTTCTGATAATAGGGAGCGTGAAGATTACAAACCTGAAGATATTGCTCGATCTCTTCTAAGAATGATCTCAAATAATATTGGACAGGTCGGTTGTGCTATGTAGATTTGTAGTTAATTGAACACCACTGTGCACTACATGATAATATTAACTCAAGTAATGCTGCAAAATATTATAGATCTGCATATGGTACAACCAGTGGAGTATAAACTTCATGACACAACTCCAAACCTGCTATGTCTTCAATTTTTGCAATAATCTTCAATGCACTGTTTCTATCTTTAAAATATTTGATTAGTGGAGGATTTCTTGGATCACCCTTCTATCTTGCATCTTTTTTCTTGTATTCTCTCTAAATAGAATTTATTTTCCGGGAAAAGAAGTGATTAGTACTGGAACATTCTAGCTGCATCTCATGAATATGAGTCATAAATCATTTTTGAAGAGTCTTAGTATTTCCCCTTTTCATACAAATGCAATATTGTATCCAAGCTGGATTATTTTTTATCAAAACTGAACAAATGAGGGCAATAAAGTTGTGGGGAAAAAAGGTCATAGCTACTGACATTCTCTGTTCGGAGATTAATGTGGTTGTTATTTTCATTATTTTTTCCCTCCCATTTTTGCTAGTTTTCTTGATTCAACTAGAAGCGAAATATTACAATGCTGCAGAAAGACTTGCACCTGATGCAAAAAAATGGGAAATTCTTCCTCCAAATCTTCTACTCATGTTCTTGTACCACTTCCTTGTACTTTTAAGAATGTCCACATTTCTAGTACTGTTTTACCTTGCGAATGCTTTAAATATGGACCCATCTTGACTACTGAATAATTTTGTATGCTGCATTGCTTACTCACCCTTGATTTACCAAAGGAATCATTTATTAACTAGATAATTAAGTTGAAAAAATCATAAGATATTTATATCAGCCCAAAATGCCACTTGGCATGGAATCATTTTTTTTAATGATTGGAGGGTGGAGGGGAAGTAGCTAATAAACTTCATGCCGTATAAAAAAGTCGTATCTCAAATTTGAAGTGAATATGCATGATATATTTTTGTAAGGACAAATTTATAAAAGTTGCTGTGATCCTACTAATCTGAATTTTGTTTATATTTAATTGATATATTATAAGATTAATATAGGATATACTTTACAAATATTAGAAAATGTGAATTATTTCACTAAATTCTTATTCTCGTTGTTTTCTAAATTCGATTATGAGGAGCTAGATCTGCATTGTTATATATTTTCAATGGTCGAAGAAAACCTATTCTAAAACATTAATAGGTGGGATAAGTATGTAAAAACTTAGAACATTCAATAAATCCCCCCCTCATGTATATATAAATGTAATTGTCATCTGATCTAAAGTATAAATGTTTCATCACTAGCTGATTTTTTTGTTTGAAAAACATATTTTACATTGATTTTCATAATATAAGGAAGGAATGGTATGGTTAGATATTAGAATAAGCAGTTTTATTACATTAGGGAGGTCTTGTTGGTCCAGGCTTGTGTACTTCACCTGTGTTAGTAGTATAAATAGGTGTCGGTTCTTGCATTATAACACAATTCAGCAATAATCCCTCTGCATTCAATTAACTACCCTGATATCTGCATAACGCTAATTTCCAATACAAATGTGGATATAGTGGAATTTTCATTTTATGAAAAGTTGGTCATGGTCCTCATGGATGTAACATTGATTTTGATTTTTTCACCACTGCCAATGGATCTTAACACACATCTATGTATGTATTAATTATGCCTTTGTTTTCATTGCTCCCAATCTTAAATATAGGTCATGTAATATTTATCTTATGTTAAACAGTGAACTGAATTTGGGATCATTTATTTCTGTTGTTGCTTGCTTTCAGATTTCTTACTTAAATGCCCTTCGCTTTGGGCTGAAGAGGATTTTTTTTGGTGGATTTTTTATTCGGAGGCATCCTTTTACAATGGACACATTATCTGTTGCTGTTAATTTCTGGTAAGTTTGAAGGACATTCGTCCATCCTACTGCCAAGTTGGTGCTTCACAACTAACCACGGTCTATGTTGAGGGACATGAACTTGTTCTCATCATTAGAATTTATGTGTGGACCATGTCCACGAGTGAGGGTAAGTTAGTAGAATTTCAGCTTGAGTAGTGTGTTTGTATAAAATTACCTTGCACCTGAAAGGAACTGATAGTCAGGGACAATTATGATGGTTATGTGTAGAGAATAACTACTTTAGAAATCAATTCTGTATTAGAAACTCCAAGATGACAATCATGTGCAGAAAATAACTGTTAGCAGTCTGTTTTGTTTTAGAAACTGTAGGATGGCAATTATGTGTAGAATATAACTACTGGTAGAAAGGTATTAGGAGTATATATCTAATAATAGGTTGTTTAATTAGGCAATGTGAAGTTAATTTCAGTTTACAGATAAAGAATATGATAGGAGACCGATGGTTAAGAGAGTGTACACAAGGCATAGAGGGGGGACACAATTGTAACTGAATAGTCTCTAAATAGTGAACAGAAGGGAGTTAGTAAGGGAAGACAGTCATAACAGAAGTTGTAGGAGAGTAGAGGTCTCTCGAATACCTCATTTTAATTTCTTTGGTTATATTGATCGGGAGAATTGCTGAATAATACACAAGGCTTATGCTTTAATTCTTTCGTTCTATTCAATCTTTCTATCCTATTAGTTGGAATCTATCAACCGGTATTAGAGCAACCACAAAATTCATGGTTTGCCAAAAGATGGATGCAAGAATTGAAGCATTGGAATGAGAACTTCATGAATCGGAGGGAAGAACATAAACTTCGCTCCAACAGATGGAAGATCAATTATTACAAAGAATTTGTGAGATGTTGGGTAATCGCAAGGGTAACCCTAGTCCAGGGGCAAATGAGGCAAATGGCGACAATAGTGCTAATCTTGGAGGAAATGTACATCGGGGAAACTTGAACCACGGAGGCAGCGGCAATTCCAATTAATTCCAATTACATAGCAACGAGTTTAGAGATTGCAGAAAAATTCAGAAAAATGGAATTACCTATTTTTGACAGAGAAGATGCACCAGGTTGGATAGGATGAATTGAGGGGTACTTTCGCTTGAGAAACATCAATGAACAAGAAAAAGTGGAAGTTGTTGTGGTAGCAATGGAAGGGGAGGCACTTTCTTGGTTATGATGGTGGGAATCTTGCATCGAGAATCTTACACGGGGGGAGTTTAAAGAAACAATCTTGAAAAGATTTCAACCAACAATGTTAGAGAATTCATTTGAAATTTTGCTAGGGTTGAAGTAAGACGGCACTGTGAGAGAATATAGGAGGCAATTCGAGGTATTGGCAGACCCATCAAAGATCAACCGGTCAGAGTACTTGAGTGGGACTTTTGTCAATAGTCTCAAAGAGGAGATTCGAGCAGAGGTGAGGATTCATAGGCCATCTTCATTGAAGGAGATGATGGACATTGCACTACTGATTGATGAAAGGAATGGGATCAACGATAAGAAGAGTGGGTATTTATAGCACAATACCCAATTCCACAATCAAGGTGGAGGAAGTCAGAAAACAAGTCTGCCAATAGAAATTCACATTAATTCCGGGTTGCTTGCATACAACGGAACTAGTAGGCTTCATTCAGTTGATGGATGGAACAAGGAGGGAATACATCACAGAGCAAGTGCAGAAGAGAGGAGTAAAGTTTCCAATGGCTGTTGGCAACTTCCTAATGAGTAGTATTATGAAAAGATGAGGAAAGATCTTTGTTTTACATGTAATGAGAAGTATTCGCCTACACATAGATGCAAAAAAAAAATGCTTAAGGTCATGATTATGGAAGATGGTGATGGAGAGAATGAGGAGATTGTTTGGGATGTGGGCTCAGCTCCCTGATTGTGACAATTCATGGGAAACAATTGAAGATATGCAACATCACTTTCCAGATTTTCACCTTGAGGAAAAGCTGAAAGTTTTAGGGAGGAGCATTGATAGGAGGCCAATGGTTAAGAGGGTGTACACAAGGCATAGAGGGGGGGGGGGGGGGGGCACAATAGTAACTAAATAGTCTTTAAATAGTGAACGGAAGGGAGTTAGTAAGGGGAGACAATTATAACAAAGTAGAGGTCTCTCAAATACCTCATTGTAATCTCTTTGGTTATATTGATTAGGAGAATTGTTGAATAATATAAAAGGCTCATGCCTGAATTCTTTCACTCTAGGACAAGTGTATTGCTGTATTTGTATAACAGGAGACTTTTTCTCTCAGGGACAACAAGTGTCTTGCTATATTATGTGTGATTTCAGTATCGTTTATTACTTTTATGAATTGGAGTTATCAATTTGGTACAACCTGCCAAATCAAAAGGAGGGATTTTTCATGCTCATTGGAGAGTAAGACCATGACGCATGTAATAAAGATGTTAGAAGAATTGGAAGGATAGTAAAAGTTGAAGCTTGGGTAGGAGCCAGTTCAGACAAGAAATTGGCAAATTTTGAGAAGATTTTGTTGGAGATGATAAACTTAATAGGCAAGTGTGCAAATCAGGATAAAGTCAGTTCATCAAATAGAGAAGAGGGGAAGGCTCAAATTCAACCATTCAAGATATAGATGAGTAATATATGGCAGTTAAGAAGGTGGAACTTCCATCTTTCGTTGTAAATGACCCTATTGGGTGGATCACTCGGGCAAAAACTTATTTTGAAGTTTATAATATTAGTGAAGTTGACAATTAAGTAGCAAAGTTAAGCATGGAAGATTCTAATATCCATCGACATAATCTATTAGGAGAAAGAATAGATGGACTGGCATGGGAGAAGCTGAAGCGGGAAATGGTGAGAAGGTTTAGGGAGCAACAATATGAAAATCCTTTTCAAGAACTGGTTGAGTAGAAACAAGAAGATTCGGTGGAGGAGTTTTTAAAAGCATTTGAATTTCTTTCATCACAAGTTAATCGTTTACCTGAAGAACAATATTTGGATGGTCTGCAACCTAAAATTAAGCTTTGATGCATACTTTTCAACCCAAAAAAGGAATTCAAGCAGTGCCAGTATTCCCGCTATGTAAAGGCAAATAGAAACGGCCCGTGTTTGGAACAAGAAGTGCAGATTGGCGAGTGAAAATGGGATCTTTAGCTGCGTTTCAAGGCTATCAAAGTAGTTGTATTGTCCGCAAGGTGATGCAGGATCAATTACTACTAGTAAGGTGACTACAAGGTGAAATGGAAGCCAAAATCATTTTAGCCTAGAATCATACTCAAATATCAATCATTTTGGCCAAAATAAAGGAACTTCGTCATATGTGGCATACTCGGGGTAAAAGAAAAGAGGGTGAACAGTGAAATTCAGCAGAGCAATAAAGGTCTACGTCATTTAACATACCAATAATTGATGAAAAGGAAAAGCATATTTTAGCTGTGGAGAAAAGTTTTATCCCTTACATCAATGTGCAGAAAAACAATTAAGATTGGTAAATTTGGGAGATAATGAAGCTCTAAACGAATATGGGGAAATAATTGCTATTAAGTAGATAAAGATAACAGTTGCTTTGGAAAGCAGTTCTGTGTTAGAAACTTCAAGATGACAGTTATGTGTAGAAAATAACTGCTAGTAATTAGTTTTGTATTAAAAACTACAAGATGACAGTTATGTGTGAAAAATAACTGCTGATAGTTATGAATTAGGAGTCTATATCTGATGGTAAGTTGTGTAATTAGGCAGTGTGAAGTTATTTTCAGTTTGTGATGCGATTTCTGCCTCTAGGGCAGTAAGTATATTGTTGTATTTGTGTAATAGAAGATATTTGGTCTCTGCGACAGCAAGTGTATTGCTCTATTGTGTGTGATTTCAGTGTTCAAAATATTATCTTTTATTACTTTTATTAATTGGTGTTCTATCAGCTATTTAGACCAGTGGCTTTCTTGCATATATGTGTGTGTATTCTTTTATTCATCTCTAATCCATTAATGTAGGAGTTGTTCTTCAACACTTATAACAGAGCTTAGATGAAATTGCTGCTATCTTAGACTAAAATCCATCTCTTCAAACAATCATATTAGTTTAGAGTGCAACATCAAAGAAATAATACTAGGGAATATAGTTGAACGCTTATCAAAGTGGTTGGATGCTTTTCAAAACATAAGCATTTTCTATGTTATTTCGTCAACAAAAACAAGTATTTATTTTTGTTGGCACAAATTTCTTCACATGCAATGATTAATGCTCAACTTTGCATAATGACAAGTCCTGATTCCTTACGGGTGGCAGGAAGGGTGTTGGTTGTGAGGAAGTGTGGGTTTGCATTTGCATGATGTTATAATTATTGAGTTGGGACCTAAAATTGACTGTTGTGCTCACCTTAGCTATAATGCATGGAAGGTTTGAAAGACTTCTGAGCCTACTTGCTTTTGGCATAATCATTAGAAAAACAAAAGTATTTAATCTGCCTTTTTTTTTCAGGTCTAAAGGTGAGGCTAAAGCAATGTTTTTGCGGCATGAAGGGTTTCTTGGTGCTGTGGGTGCCTTCATGAGTTCTGATAAACATGGCCTTAAGGAATTATTGGCCAATCAAGTGGTGCAAAGAACTCCCAGCAAGTTATCATTTGCTGTGGATAAAATAATACATGGTCAACCAGATGGAGATGAAAGTATAGAGTGCAGTGTCTATGCAGCATAGATGAAGCAATTCTTCGTTGCTTTCATGACTTGTAATTTCTGTAGTTTGATTCTGTAAAATGTTGAAAGAAAGAATTATTATAACTGTGATTATTGATTTAGAATTTAAGGAAAAGGGTAAATTAGAATAAGAACTCATAAGGGATTGCTATTGTATCACAGTTTCACCCAATGAATTGTGTTGTATAACAGCTAATAATTTGTATGAATAAATAAGGCTTAGTCTAGTTACTCATTTAATGAAATACTTTTTCTATTTCTTTACGGTTGTTTTGGATAATGTTTTAGTTAGATAACCTTAAATGAGGATTTGATTCTATGCATTTACTGATCCACGGAGTTTTTTGTTGCTCTGGAATCTAAAATCAGGCGTCTCCTAGTCATATTTCAAATGAATTAGCAATCTAAAATCAAGAACCCTCCACCCTCAATTAAAAAGAAAAGGAAAAAAGTGAAAAGAACTGCTATTTTCAGTATTGCTATAATATTGGATCCATCAACAAAGATCATCCAACTAAAATGCCATGCAATGAGCTGAAATTGGTGACTTTAACTTTGTGTAATAAAATGCATACTCTAGAATCCTTTAAACTGAACTACATGGAACAATCTAGATAGATTCCTTAAAAAACAAAACATAGGAAAATCACTTAGCGGTAAGCAGTCTTCTATGACTCTGCTTTGCATTTTTTCTATGTAACATCCATCTTTCTTTAATGTCGCTTGTGTTACCAACCCGGTCCACATTTTCACCTGGTTTTCCCTGAAGGTCCTCTCCCGTAGACTTTTCAGCCTCATATCCTCCTCTGATTCTTGCAGTTTCTGCAAGCAGATCATTGATAAGCATCTCAGATGTCCGGGCAGTAATTCCCCTCAAATACCATGATATGGGAGGGGGAGGAACAATGGCTGGCTGAAGTATTTGTTCCAGGCTAACTCTAGATCCAATTCTTCCTTTGCCTCTTGTACATGCATTATAGTCTTCCTTTGTCACGGGCTTAAAGGGATAGCATTTTTCTTCATCAACAAATAAAGGCTCTACCCTCCAGCAGCCCTCAAATTTTTTCATGAATCCAGTATTGGGTTGCTTGAACTTCATCTGACACAAAATTATATAGCAGTATGTAAGACATATGTCTGTCATTGGATGAAAAGCAGGAGCTTGTCAGAGTTCATTCACATATGACTCTTTTAGGATGCTGCTTAGCAATCTTTATGTCTACAAAGGATATTTAATAAAAATTCCAGGAGATAGTTGAACTTGAATAATATTTTTATTAAAATTTCAATTGCTTGCGTCTCAAATAGAAGGGAGCAAGAGAGCAAAATGCTATCAGTGCGGAACATTTTCAGTAACCCTAAAGAGAGTCTTCTGACTAAAATTCAACTTTCAACTAATTCAACCCAAGACCAAAGAAAATAAATAACTATAAATTTTTCATTTAAAGAAGGGAGTCTAGGAATGGAGATAATAGCTGAAGTATGTGCATCAAATATGGAATCCATCCATTATCTAAAAGAGGGATAGATCCTTACTGAGTGGTCTTCTCTGTTTTGATCTACCAAAACATTAATCGAAATAGTCCCAGACCACCAAAGAAATTTCCAAATGGCTGCTTGATCAAGATCAACCACTTGCCTATGACCCTCATCAACCAAAACTTTTCTGGATATCACTTCCTGACAAAAAAAGACATCGCCATGTTGAATTGCAGAACATTGGGAGGTTGCTAAAATAATGTAGCTAACAAATTGTACATGCTAGAAGTTTAACCAAAAGAGCAAACAAATACAGGCTCAAGAAGAAACAATGTTTCATCAATGGTCATCTTCAATGTTTTTTGAAGTACTATTTTTGAGGAAGGTTGTGATCAAACACACTGAGCAGAATTATGGATGATTAAAATCACCTACTTTGATATTTTTGAAGACTCTTCTATTGTCAGGATCTGTCACAATATTATAAACTGCATCCGGGGGCAGCCCAACATCAACTTCTACATTGAGGTTGCAAAGAGAACCTTTGGGAACAGTGACCTGCCACAAAGAATATTATATTACACATATACAGTACACTAGGACATAGATATAGAAATTTCCTTAATTATTTCAAATTTTTAGCTACTTAATGTTTGACAGACTGGATTTATATATTCACTAGGATCCTGCTGGCCTAAATGTGTTACCCATTGGTTCAGCAGTTTGTCTTCTATATATTGGAATTCTCCACTACATTTCAATTCATCCACAAACAAAGAAAAGGTGTATAAAAGTTAACTATAAAGTATTCTAAAATCTGAATAGAATTGAATAAAATTTAATAGTTAATTTATAAAATTTTAAAAGTGCCTCAACAAAGTTTAGATCATCAAGTTTCAAATACAGGCTCTAAGGCAAGCTGGTTTGGCTACAGTATTATCTGAAGCAAATAAAATCAATTTAACATTTGTTTTATTAAGAAACCAACATTTTCCAAAGTAAAAACAAACTTCTCATTTAACCGCTCCTCACCTTTATCAGTGGTGGTTTATCAACCCAAGAAGGATTTTCTCTCCATGCTTGCAGTTGTTCATTCAGTTCAGCTTCTGAGTAACTGAAAGACTTATTCTCATTTTTCTTGACAGATCTCGTCAATCTCATTCCATCCTGTTTTGCTAATCGTGACTGTAGTCAGAAACTAATTAGTTAAGTTCAAATCATGTTCCTCAAATTTTCAAATCACAAAATAAGAGATTGACCTTAACAACACTTTGAATCTGCACAAAAAATTTAGATATTCTAGAATCTAGTCTCCTTGGGAATCCATTTTTCTCATTCTTCCTGACATTTAGGCTGAATTTTGTCCCCTCTGACTCACTCATCATAAGAACCTGCAATGTTTTCTAAAAGAGTTAAAATTATTCATATTACATATTCAAAACTATTATTTTCTTTAAGGCCATTTAACGCCACTTCAGACATTCAAGCTTCTATCATTAAGTTCCCAACTTGATGGAGGTTATACTAACGACCTTTACAGAATCTATTTATGGAATAATAATAAGTTAGTTCAGGAGTTTTGAATTCAAAAAACTAAAAAATGTTCCGACAACACAAGGTGAAAATTTTCCATGTGTGGCCGCATTTATCTTTGATTAAATTTAAGGCAATGAACCACAAATTGGCCATAATCAGAATTATATTGCCCAACTGAAAACACAATAAAAAAAAAAACAAAAATCTAGAAAGATGTTATCAAGTTGTGCAGAAAACTCAAGACAACGAATTGAACTCAACCCAAATTCAGAACAAGCTTTACCCATCAGAAAACACAATGAAAAGGCAAAACAACACAAAACCACTGCAAAGAAATAGGAAACAGAAGGGAATTCCCATTGTTCCTGAAACCTAATAATGAGTAGTGAAGTTATGATTTGAATAAAGCGAATTTTGTGTAGAGGAGAGATTCAAAGAGAACTCACAGGTTAAAAACTACGATCACTACGGTATATTCCTTTAAGCAAAGCCAAGATCTTATCTTAGAATGTAAAAATGGATAGTTCTAACTTCTAACTTTTTTTTTTTTTTTTTTTTTAAATAAATACTTTCTTTTTTAATATTATTATTATTTAGAAAAGTATGGCATGAAATGGTGGAGAAAAGGATAAGTAGGAGCAACACAACACGTGTACCACATGTTCAACTTGAGTAGTTGACCCATCAAACACCAAGTTAAAGTATGCACATTTGGACTTTTTTTTTTAATATATCATTTATTAATTATTTAAATAACCTGAATGCATTTATATTTACCTAAATAATCTATTTAGAAACTTAATCCGTTTGAGAAATCGGTTACCTAGTAACCGATTTTTCAATAGGTCTTTTTTTTCATTTTTCATTTTTTTTATTTTCTTATTTTTCTTATTTTTATTTTAAATTTTCAGCTTTTTAAATTTTTAGTATTTTTAAATAAAATAATTTAGTTAAGTTTTTAGAATAAGAATAAATAATAAAATAATTATTAACTAAATAAATAATTAAAATATTAATTAAAATTTTTAAAAAAAGACAAAATATTTATATAAAATAATAGGAAACAAAATACAATATTTGGAAGGTTTGATCACATTTTAAGTTTGGTGACTTGAACTCCCTTGACGATAAGGACATTTCTTCTTTAAGTGACCTACATTTCTACAGAGAAAACATCTTTTTGGTTGTCCTGGTTCAACCATATCCATTTCAGTACGTATTCTGGATGACTTTGGACGACCTTTTTTATTTCTAATCTTTTCCAGATTTGGTATGATTTGCGGTTCTTCACAATCTGGCCAATAAGATTCATTGGGCAGTTCACCAAATAATTCATTATACACATTTGAAACATATTGTAATGTGTATACTGGATCTATGTAAGATTTATAATCGTGGTGAACATGCTTACATGCAGCAACAACATAGGAGCATGACATGTGTAGCTTTTGGAATTTCTCACAGTCACACCACTTGTCATGTAGTCTAACCGTGAAAGTTCCAGTAGGTCGTGTTTTCCTTGGGTTAATGGTCTCTTGTACCAGAAAACATGTACTGTGACGATCAAATTCAAGGACATGATGACTATTAGCCTTTGATTCTGCATCTTTCATGGCCCTATTCATTATTTCCGTATAAACTTGGCCAGCCCTAAGTTTAGTATACACTTCCTTCCCCCTTTGGATGAATAAGGCATTACATCTCTTACAAGTTGACATGATGATTGCAGAAATTGGAAAATTTCTTATTTTTTTAAGAATGGAGTTAATTGTCTCAGCCAAGTTGGTAGTCATGTGTCCTCATCGTCGGCCACCGTCCCATGCAAGAGTCCATTGTTCTTTTGGTATGGTGTTGAGCCGTTCAATTACACCTTCGATTTCTGGTTCACTCCTTAGCGTGTTGTAGTAGTAATTGAATCTTGGCTCAGTCATCCCATAAGCTGTGAAATCAAATTAGCAAAAAATGAACAATTTAGTAATGTTGAAATATGGTGAAACAAATAAAAGTAATTAATGATGCTAAGTACATACCCATATTGATGATTAATTTTTTTCATTTTGTATTCTTGAAATGCCTCATGAAGTTTTGAGTTATATGGCGAATACAGAACACATGCACTGAATTCTCGGGTGTCCAACCACTGCCTTGTCTAGCGTAGGCATTTTTGATAGACTCATGCCTATCCGAAATTAAGCAAAGGCCATCTTGAGGGCAAACATGTCTTTTGAGATAATGTAGAAAGAAAAACATGCTTCTGCTGTTTCACCCTCAACAATTGCAAAGGCAATTGGAAAGATTTTGTTGTTACCGTCTTGAGCCACGACCACAAGGAGAGTTCCTTTGTATTTTCCATACAAGAATGTGCCATCAACTTGAACAATGGACTTGCAGTATTTGAACCCATTGATACAAGGTTTAAATGTCCAAAATACTCTATGGAATTGAACATAATGATGAACCATCTCACCTTGTTGGTTGTATAGTGGCCTTGTTTGCTTCTCAACAACAAATCCATTAAGAAATCTACTCATGGCACTGAGCAACTTGGGTAAATCATGGTAATATTGTTCCCAGTTGCCATGTAAGTCTTCAATTGCCTTTTACTTTGCCATCCAAGCTTTGTGGTATGAGATTGTGTACCCTTCAGCACTTTTATGTGTGCTATTATTGTTAGAATAGAAATGGATGGATCACTCTCCACCAAAGGAAGAATACTTTTGCTAATATATACATAGCCAAGGTTAACATGATCTTGTGTAATAATAGGTGATGAACAAGAATGTTCACCTGATAGCTTACGAAGCTCCCATTTTTGGCTTTAGTAATAAAAGCCGCTCTGCACCTCCAATCACATGTACTATTAACACAACGTGCAACAATTAATGTTGGTGACGATTTCTCCACCCTGTAATACAAACCTTTCTTTATATGGTATGCATTTAGAACATGTTGGACTTCCTCCTTTGTGTTGAAATTCATGCCTTGAAATAGGCTATCAAGAGAGTACTCGACGTCAACATGGTCAAGTGCATGTCTATACTATGGGTCAGTGAAATCTGTTTGCAAATCAACATTATGCATGTGTGAAGGAAAACTGAATGTGCTTACGTGCTGAGATTGTTGTACAAGATGATCTTGTTTATCGTCTTGTTGGAGTCTTGCATCATCTTCCCCCTCACTGAAAGGACCAACTTCTTCTTCAGGAACTCCAACTTCAGGGACTCCTTCCTGTTGTTCTTGTTGTTGGACTCCAAATGTAAGGAGGTTGGTAAAGGATCCATGTGTATGAAAATCGTCTAACGATGGTTGGTTTTCATGACAAAAAGGTTGGTTTTCATAGGAAGAAGGTTGGTTGTGATAGGAAGAAGGTTGGTCGTCGAAACCCAACAAGGAACCGACAACCTTCGAGGTGTGTAACGGGCGGGCATAGACATCATTAAAGTTGGATTGTGATTTCCTGGATTGTAATTCTATTATTGTTCTTTTTTATTCAATCTCCTATTTTATTGTTGTATTTTGTTTTTATTTCAAGTTATTCATCTCAATTAATGTTTTTTTTTATTTGAAGTTGTGATTTATCATAATATTTTCATTTTTAAAAATTCTATTTTAAATTAATTTTATTAAATTTATTCTTTAAAATTTATTTTAAATACATTTTTATAATCTAAAATAAAAACAAAAGCTAAATAAAATTTTTAAAAATTCATTATAATTTTTTTAAAAAAATCTGAATATTTAAAACTAAAAAAGAAAGAAATTAGCAAATCTGAAAAAAAAAAACACACAAAAAAGGTCAATAAAATAAAACAACAAAAAAAGGTTAATAAATTTTTAAAATTTCCATTATAATTTTTTTAAAATCTAAATATTATAAACTAAAAAACAAAAAAATTAGAAATCTGGGGAAAAAAAATCAAAAATAAAAAAAACATAAAATAAAAAAAATAATAATAAGCCCATTGAGAAATCGGTTACTGCGTAACAGATTTCTCAAAGGAATTTTTCAAAAATTTTCAAAAATCCCTTTCAGAAATCGATTATCCAGTAACCGATTTCTCACCTAAATTTCTAAATGGTTTATTTAAGTAAATATAAATGCATTCAAGTTATTTAAATAATTAAAAAAAATGTCGCACATTTGACCAACACAAAGAATATAAATTTTTATACATATTTAATACTTTTATTATTAAATAATCATTTTCATGTGAATTTTATTAAAAATGTAATATTGCTATTTTTTTATTTCTTTATAATTTTTTGATTATAAATTTCATGATTCATTGTTATCTTTTAAAAAAAATCCCTCAAAAACACATATTTATTTGTTGAATACTTTTTTGAATTATTTTGTGTTAATTCTTCTAAATATTGCGTTTTGTCATGTAACTGTTCTAAAATAAGAGGTTAAATAAAAAATTAATAATATTCAAAGAAATTAAATAGAACTAAATAAAAGATAAACAAAGAAATATTTAATAAAAAAATTAATATAAAAATTTATTTTAAAAAATAAAAATATATATAAATGTATTGTAATGAAAAACTTGTGCACACGTTTACAGGAGAATTAAGAGAATGGATCTTTCATTGAAAAACATATTAATGACCGAAAACAAAATGTTATGAGCATCTACCTGGATATCTTTAATATGATGACGACTCTTATAGAGAAAAAAAAATGTGTATGTTAGAGTATTTGAGATTGTTATTTTATAGTTACAAGATAAAATTTTTAAATTTCATTTGATCACCAATAGAGATCTTTTTTTAGTGGAATAAATTGATTTTAATAAATAAAATATTATCTTTTTATAATTATTTCAAATCATAGTTAAAATATATATTTAATAGGAAACAATTGTGTATCAGTTTTTTTTTCAAATAATTTCCAAAAATAAACATTTTGATAATAAAAATTTTGTTCTTATTTAATTGTTGCAAAATATTAAAATTGGCACTCATTACGTACCTAATTTTTATTGGAATCTCTCTTGACTAGAAATTTTGTGGACAATTTTTACATTAAATAAGAAAATATTTTATATATGTATTAATTATATATTTTTTGGTGCTAACAAAAAATATAATAATATTTCACATAAAAAATATTTATTAAAATTTCTAATTTAACTAGTATTTTAAGTTATACAATCTAAAATTTATAATAAATTATATATAAATAAATATTATATTTTAATATACAATTTGTATAAATAAATATTTTTTAGATATATAAATTATATTTTAAATTTATGATAAAATAATTTATATTGTAGTACAATATTATTTTTATTTATTGATAATCTATTTAAACATTTTAAAATGTAAGTTATAAATAATTATGATAAATAAAAATTGAATTAGTTAAGAAGTTGAAAAAATATCTAAAAACTCTCTCGTTGAAGAAATGTTTTTAAAAAAAACACTCTTTGCA